CTCTTTAGTATCTTGAATTCTTCCTTGTGCTTTGGCTTCTCTGCATTCCAGTGCAATTTTCAGAGTCTCTTCTGACATCCATTTTGGTCTTCACTTCCTCTTCTGTCTTTGCAATGACTGTTTGCAATTAACTTTATACTTTAAAACGTTCTATTTTATTTGTACCTTCCATATTTACATGAATTACATTATCATAATTTTATTGTTTGTTTTAAATTATATTTATGTCTTTCCTGTTGTATTATTTTGTGTATATCTGTATGTGTACCCTCATTTGTGCACTCCTTCTACTATAATATTCATTTTCTTTCTCTACAGGTACCTGAAAATTAGCTATGTGAAGAAAAAATAAACTAGAAAATGCATTTTAGGAATAACTAAACTCTAAGAGTAATAATAAAATAGATAATATGAATAGATTTAAAAATGTCAAAAGCAATGAATAACATATTACCTTTCTAATTGTTATTGTTGTTATGTATTGTTGCACTGGTATTGACCTATAGCTGAACCTCCAGTGTGTTTTCAGAGGCAATAAATCACATTGGATTTGAACTGCATGCCTTTGGAATTTCATCACACTTTCTCACTACCAGGCCACCAGAGCTCTCTTATTAGTGCCACTAAAAAAAATAAAAACAAAACCAAAAAATTAAAAAAGAACATAAGAGCAATATTTGCAATAATGACAATTTAGAATTTTCTAGAACTGATAAAAATAATTATTCTCATTATTCGATTTATTTAAATTACCAAAACAGAAAATGGCAAGAGTAATAAATCTCAATATATCAAGAAAGAGGTAAGGTTATAGTTAAAGAGCAGAGATACAGAGAGAGTAGTATGGAAAAAGGATAGGGGGATAGATCCAGAGGAAAAAAATCAAACAAATGCCAATAAATCAATATAATAATTCCAAATAGAAACATCAATTGTGGGAAGAATTTATAGATGGAAATAACATGATAACTTAGAACTTATTAGCCAACATTGACATCAGATTTATAGTCTCACTTGGAAGGAATTATTGGGTATTTCATCACTATGAAACAAGTTATTTTTAAATGTCAGTGTCTGAGGTTGTTAGATTTAAGTTAAATAAAAGAGTT